ATTTTTCATAGAGAAGGTTTTTAGGCTATCAATTTTTCTGTAACTCGCCACCAGATGGCGCTGTAGAACAATTTTTTGAAAGCACTGTTTTATAACGCTGCGCACGCCTAAGTTCATTGATTCTGATTCTGTCAAAACATTGGAACAGCAGCGAAACAGCAACATAGTACTAGTATTGTATATGATAGAAGTAAAAAATTTCACTTACATGGAACACTGTCATCGTTAGTGGTGGACATATGATGTTTCGTAATAAGGCACTTGCCTTCAGCAACAATCTGAATAACATTACAAAATAAAGCACTCAATTCGTTCATAATATTACAACTTTATGTCACGAACGAGTTAAATCTACTCATGTCATCGATGACATTATGTAATAACAATCATTTGACTTAATCACAGCCATAGGAATCCGTCTTTGTAAAAAACATGAGGAGAAAGCAAATAAATTCAAAAATAAACTCTTCAAGAAGATGTGTAGGTCACAAACTGAATAGGAAAAAGTGTTTTTTGTATTCAACATAAAAGTAATTGTTTCAAAAGTTTTTTTTTCCTGTCATGTAATTCAATGTTTAGATAAAGTAGTTGTTTCGAGAAGGCATTTTCTTCCAGATTGTGTCTGGTGCAACTAAAATTATATATATTTCAGTACTCAATGTGAGTACGACTTTACTCGCCTCCAGTAATAAATGTGGAGATTTAGGCCAGAATGGATTTATTTTGGAAAACAAATGATATTCAAAATTTTTAGGTATATCAATAGATGATAAATTGAAATTTGACAACCATGTTAGTGCTCTGACAAAACACATTGCTTCAGGATGCTATGAATAAATAGTCTTTGCAAATGAACTGAGTTCCCCAACAACAACAACAGCAATGTAGACCATTGTTTGTGAGTAATGGAATTCAGACATTTACTTGTTTATTTATTTAGAGTCAAATTATTGATAAAACAGTGAGCTTTCCTGCTCCAAAGTCAGCCTTGAAAATAAATTATTCAGCAGCATATGAAAGAAGCCCCAATAAATAAGCTTATTATTACTGTGAATAATTTCAAAAAGGAACTTAATCATGATGTTCATTTTAAACTAAAAATTACTGTTTATCTATTTCTTTGTTTATTATATTATTGTTTATGGTCACTTATATTCATGTAAAGTAAGTTGTTAATGTGACCTCATTTTGTTCACATTTCAAATAATGTGTGCCTATTAGAATATTTTCTATTTGAATAAACTTGTTAATTCATTTACGGTACTGAGTACAAAAGAATTGCAAAGAATCAAAGTGAAGGTGGATTCATTCGCCAGTCCTAATAAGTTGAAAATTTCAAATCAAAAGAATTTATGTTTTCCATTTGTTACAAGTAGAAACGATTGGTGCATGAAAGTTGCCAATAATCCAACTGCTAACAACTTGTTACTCATCACATGCAACTTGAGACTGGAGAATGAATCCAGCTTTCTTCTATCCAGTTTTTAGCTGTGAAGTTCATTAATGATATCCAGACTTATTGGTGGGTTCACAGGTATACTTACTCTTTGATTGTTTTAGATATGATAGAAAGTCTATATCGTTGATGAGCTATGTGATCAACACATTTTTTTTGGATACCATGCAACTGTTCTAATTGCTGAAGATATGCTTTGTTATCGAACTAAAAATTTCAATATATTAATATGATTTTCATTATCATACCTAAATCACTAACCTCTAGCTGTTTGAAATCTGAATTCAACTCATCCCATTCTTCAAAAATTTGTTCTGTCATTTTATTAAAAATTGGATATGGACAAATTCAAACAATATAATGCAAATAACAATGAATATCCAGTATTAATAAAAAATGTAATTAATAATAATTAACGTGCTGATTGTTCGTCCAACATTATTATTGTTATCATACAGGAACAAAAACCACGAACTATGATTCCCTCAGATTCCACAACCCACAAAACTCTTTCCATCACCTGTCAATTCTGACAAACGTGAAGTCAAATTATCCGAAAATTGCAGAGTTATCGCTGGCATAATTCTCAATGTTTGGGATATCGTATATAAAATTTAAATATATGAAGTGTCACAATTGATTTTTTTAATCGTGAAAACCTGCCGATACAGTATATACAATATACAGTCGCAGTTTTAGCCTTATACTTGTGATACAGTTATTGAAGACAAAATCTTACCTACCCCGTAAATGTCATAATATGAAGTATTTATGTAAAAATAGTTCCTATGTCATAAATTTACAATGAGTGGTATGTTTGTAAGTTCAAGTTGCATTATTAGAAGTTAGCTCTGGCTAGATTCAGATATGGGAATATATATACTGAAATAACTGAATAAATTTGTAATAAATGTCGTAATGAGTGCCGACATCTATTGTGCAAATTACAAAGTGTACGTTCGAGAAATTAATTGAAATAGTCTATATACAATGGTTGTATCTCTGCATATGGATAGTCTATACCTATACAAATGTTGTATTCAGACGCTGGTCATATTTTTCAGTTATTTGGTCGTTTCGAAAGTTTTGTCCATTCAAACTTTAAACTAATATCTTAGTGAATAGGAATGTAGGCTTTCACGGCTAGCGTCTATGTTTTGGCTGGCTTCCGGGTTTTGTCGTGGTCTTCATTAAAACATTAAACAAAAACATTTTTTTAGGGAAAAAACACAAGTACTACAGGAAAATCCTCAAGGTGCTCTCAGAGAGAAGCCTGTGCGAAAGTAGTGATTCACATTGGATTTGAAACGCTGGAGATTAAATCCATTTGAAAAAACGTTCTCAGGAAGTTTATTCCACATAAACGCAGTTTCCAAATGAAAGAGTTCTCAAACGGTGATGTGGATATTAACTCATTATTTATCATTCTGTATGTTCATTTTGTGTTCATTTGCTTTGTAAACAAGATATGTCAGTTGAAGATTGAAAACTAGTACAAAATGTCTCTAAAGTTCCTTCTTGACTACAATTGGATTTATTGGCTTGGGTTGATCAATTCTTCTGAAAGAATAACAAGTGAAGTTCGAAATGTACTGAGTTGAACCTCAAAACGATGAGCAGCCACAGTTGTCACGTATTTTTGATATGTACAGCTCTTGGTAGAATCCAATGTGCCAAGTCACTTGAATACTTCCTGTGAAAGTATTTACAGACGAGAGACAAATCTCCAACCTTCCTTCGGTGTTCCAGGCTAGCAAGGTTGCACGTGATGTTCGCTTCTCCAATCACTAGGACGACTCTTTTATGGATGGAATCCAGCAACTTCAGGGTATGTTTGGGGACAGAGCTCCATATATGAGAACAATACTCCAAAAAAAGGTCTGATCTGAGCTTTATAAAGCATCAAAAGTTGCTGAGATGTGTACCAATTACCGTGTGTGCACTGGTTCTGAACAGTGTTTCAAGCTTCTGAGAAGCAGCCTTTGCAATGAACCTTTTTCCTGAAGTACGAAAAATTACTCACTAGCAGCGCTAGTAGTTCGGTAGGGACAAACACTTCCAAATCCTTATATAAACATATGGTAAAGTACAATTAAAGAAGAATGTTTTTAACAGAAGATGTTCCTGGAGCAAAACTAAAATTTGCAACTGTAAAGGATAACAATGTTGTAACGTTAGAACGTTGGCTTGCATGCCGTAATTCAAAAGTAACTGAAAAAAAAATGAGTTAATAGACAGGTTAGTATAAACAAAATAATTTTTTTAATCAGATTTATATTTTTAAATAATAAATTAATATTACGTAAATAACACTGTTTTACATGTGAATAGTTAATGTTTGTCCCTACTACTAGTGCTGCCTCTCGTGACACGTTCGCTGTACTATTCTCAAAAAAAAAGGCTCATTCCAGCGACATGATTGTGCCAAAACATATCGGTGTCTATTTTAACACCCAACAAACTCATCGAACCAGAAAGCAAAATTGTCTGACCTGACATTATTATATGCGGTTCGGAGACATTTATATTGAAGAAAATCGATGCCTGGGTTTTGTGACATTGGATTGATTGAACCTGGTTATTTTCACCCTAATTCGAAATCACTTCTAGATCCTCATTAAGATATGCAACCTCCTGCTGCCGGTGAAGATGTGCCTCCGTATCAGATGTCGTGGAATCCAAATGGAATGACGAGACAAGTGTGCTGTTGTCAGTAAAGCAAAATATTGGATTCTTGTTTTTTTCCAATTAATCGTTGATATACAATAAAAAGAGGGTTGGAGATGAAATGGATCTCTGGGGAATACCAGCGCTTATGGTGAAAGAATTCGAAAGATATGCATTGATGGCCACTTTCAGGAAACGTTATTTCACGAAGTTAAAGAGCCATACACAAAAAAGATCCGACAAGCCATAGCATCGAAGTTTGGCCAGCAAACCCTCATGCCACACATGGTCAAAGGCCTTAGAAATATCAAGCGCAAAAGTTCTTGAATCTCCATTTTACTCGATTGCGTTATTCCAAGTATGGGTGATATGTGATAGAAGGTCGCCTGTTGTTTTTTTTTCCGAAAACCATATTGAGATCACTTGAGATGTTGAAGCCTTCCAAATATCTGAGGATATGGTGGTTTACGACTTCCTCCATGATTTTTCATATCACTGATAGCAACGGGCCTGATTTATAGTTATTTGGAATATTTTTCTTGCCCTTTTTGGGAATAGACTGAACCCGAGCAATCTTTCAACAAAAAAAAACCTGTTTATTGTAAGACAGATTGGAAAGTCTGCAAAATACTGGTGCGAGTTTATTTGCGCACTTTTTAAATACGATAAGGGCACTTCATCAGGGTCAGACGCCTTGTTGATACTGAACAGTTTCAAAATTCCCCTGGCTAGACGCTGTCGAAAAGTAATTTCCGGCATTGTGGATTCTAGTGTGGAAATAATGGGTGGTGACTTTCCTAGAAAATCGACTGTGGAGTGGGAAGCAAATTGTTCAGCTAGTAGATTTGCTATTTATATGGCTGTTGTTGCAATTGAACTATCCGCTTGTATTAGTGGTGGAATTGTGGATTTTGTAAAGTTCTAATTAACAGCTTCAGCTACCGACCAGGAGGATCTAGACCCGTTGGGATTGGCAAGCAGATTATCCCTAATTCTCTGATTGTGAAGTTCTTTGCTTTCATTTATCCTAAGTTTGCAGCTGTTGCGAGCATTAACAAACCTACTTCGGTTTTCTGCACTGAGATTTTCGCGCCACTACCGGTAGGCGAGATTTTTGGAGGCGACAGCTTGCTCGCAAATTTTGTTGAACCATTCATCGATAATTCACTCAACACTTAAATGAGTGTGTGGTCAGAAGATCTCAATGGAGACCTTACGGTGACTGTGTAAATTTCTGGAATAGTTGTTAGGTAAAAATCCAGAAGACTGGCATATTATCCATTACGGTCAGGAATCCTGGTTGGCTCATTTATAATCTGAGTAAGTCCGTTGCTTTTTGTGAAATCCTCAGCTTCACGACCTTGTTCAACGTTGATATTTGAAGATTTGAGTTATTCGATATTGTAGACTTTGAAGTCCCGAATATGGAAATTTCGGCACTGGGATGAATGATTTGCAGAAATTCAATAGTGCTTTTACAAGTGAACAGAATAGTGCCCTATATTGTGTATCGCTCGGTGGTTGGTTGAACCAGATGACATCAAAGTTTCGAGGTTCCAGCATTTCCTCTCGTTGACAGGACAGATCGCTTCTGATAAAAAGAGATATTCCAAAGTTACGTATTTGCGACTTCATTTTGTTCCAGTTCTTCCATTTGTAGTTGGAGCGTCGGAATTACAATTTTACTTTTCTTTGACTCAATTTTCTTCTTCCTAATTGAATTAATTGTACTAGTTCTAGTGTTAACTGATTTCTTTTTCAATATCAATGATTGTATTATTTCGTTCTACTTTTGTATTGGATATTTTCGATTTCATCTTATTTTCGGCATCGTAACTCAATCTCAGTGAAGGAACTCCTGAGTTCTATCTTGAACTTCTTTGAGAATTTCTTCCTTCCGACATATTAATTACATATCATGTCCGATTCAACAACCCAGATAATCAATTCAGCTTCTCAAAGTACAAATTTAGTGGCTAAAGGACCAATTGTAATTTTTACATCTGTCAGGTCTTACCGATAATTGTGNCATTTAACCAACTTGACATGTCCCGTGCTCCAGCATTATTATTTTACAAAGTGTACAAATAAAATAAGCAGTGAAAATGGAATTGAAACTTTTTCGTTGATATTATACATTATGTTCCATTGGGAATGCACCAATACTAAAATTTGACAGAACTTATAGTTATTTCTAGTGTAACACGTGGAACACTGCGAGAATCAATATTTTTAACCTCAATTTCACTAATTAAAAACGACGAAACAAAAATATGGACTTTGACATGTTTGTTTACATGTTTCCTCTTCACGGTTTTTCACGTTTTTGTTAAAAAATAGCAAAACTTGGAAAAAGTAAAAGGGGAAATCCTAAAATTTACATAGTCGATTTTAACCAGCATCTGATTCTAAGAATTCTTCATGACGAACTTTCTCGAATAATTTTAATGACATGTTTTTATATAAACAAATTTTCATGAGAATACTAATACACTCGTATTTAACCTTGCCCGATTTATCGTGATTGTGATAGTATCTTGATTGTTCATTGCTTAAATGGAATTACACAACTCACCTTTTGAATCTGAACGAATTGGAATAGTTTAAAAAGTGATTGTAATCTGTGAAGTGGAACCAAATCTATAAGATCTAATTTGATAAATTGAAGTAGGTAGTCTTAGGCAAGAGCTTGGATATGGAAAAGGTAGATGTTGAACCAAACATTCCTACGATAGAGCTGAAACCTGAAAAACCAAGAAGAAAACCTCCCCCTCCTGGTTTAAAAGATGATTTAACAGTTATAGCTCACATTTGTGTTGTTTTCTATTTCATACTTATTTGTTATCTTTGTTTTGTGAGACCTTTCGAATTCTTTACCTGGCATCCTCTGTTGTTATCATTAGGGGTGAGTTCATAAAATATTTCAATTTCATACTTTAGAAGCCTTTTATCAGAATTTCTCTGATTTCTGTAGTTGCAGTAATTTCACTTTCTATCATTGTAATACTTGATTAAATTTAATTGCAAACTGGGAAACTACTGAAACAGAAAGGTTTTGGAAATCAGGATGAAAAGAGTTGTCACATTAGAACGCAAAATAAAGTTCTATCCTTCAATAAATTTGTAACCCATGTAAACAGGTTCGTAGAAACAATTTCAGAATGGTTCACAGCTGCTTATTGAAAGTGGACTCTCGCAAAGTAACTGTGCAATTATCATTGACTGTTCCAGGACAGTACAAAAAGATAAACCGAATATGGCATATCAGTAACAATCAAACTTTCTACTTCCACCTCTTGTGTCAAGCAGAATGTTTTTTTACTTTAATTTGTTTTTTCCTGAAAGTATGTTTCGAAATATCATATAGTTGCAAAAACCTGCATTTTCAATAATTTGCAATCCTATTTGCATAAAAATTGTGATAAAAATGCTATTTTCACTCTATACAAAAAGCAAAAGATTTGCAAATTTGCAAAATATGATCAATTAAATTGCTCACATATTGAAGGTTATAAACTAACTAGTTTCTACTGCAGACCAACTATGCGCTGTGGAGGAGTTAGCATATGGACCCATCACAGTTTTGAAATGAAATCCATAGATGTATCGAAATTTTGTGTCGAACAACACTTTGAAATTTGTGCCGCTTCCTTTACTTGATTTATGAACATTGGGAAAATGTTTACTGAATTACAGATTTTAATGAAGCTTTCAACTATTTTTATGAAATTTTACTCAACCATTTTAATTCGAATTTTCCTGAAAAAAGATTTTATTACAAGGACAATAGTAAGAAATAGGTAGATGATTCAATCGTACATTCTGGTACATCATTGAGAGACTTGTTCACTTTAAAAAGGTTTGGCATTCTCAAACCAGTTTGATAACGTTCAACGAAAATGGCGTGTTGTTTTCGGTGAAATCCATTGTTAATAATGCTGTTTCAAGATTCTGTGTAAACATCGTTTTATTCAATTGCAGCCAACTTGAGAACATTTTGTAAATATTTTGCAGTTCATTTGTATCGCGAATGGTAGCATTGAGAAATAAAATGAATTATTCTAATAGATGTAAACATAATAAACTGTTTTACTATGAGTATGGCTCATTTGCATATCTTGTTAAATTTTTTGAAATGAATGTAAAAGACAAATATTAAAACTCTTGAATGGTTGCAGATTTAATGCCTAGTGCCATTATTATCAACTATATTAGTGTTTTGCAGAACTTACAATTTTCAAATCAATAAATAATGTTTGTTTATTGCAGACTTCTACAAAATTTTATATTTTGTATTCATATTGTGCTTGATATTCAGTGAAGAAAATAGATAGCAAAGTTGAGAAACAATTAATGACTGAAAACAACGCACCAACTCTTTTCAACATTCAAAAAGAATGAGTTTGATGTTTCTGGTGGGAGAAAGTTATGTTTGTTTTGTATGGCGTGTGTTGCGAGGTTTGATTTATATGTAATTGGGTTTATGTATGATTTTTTGTCCTCGTCGTATCTTTGGATCAGTTTTTTCTTGGTTTGGCCGATATAGAGTTTGTTGCTGTCTGAGCATTGTATGCTGTACACTCCGTTTAGGTTTTTGTCTTCTTCTTTTTCATGGCTCTTTATTTTTTGTGTTATTTTCGTGTTCGGTTTGTAAGTGATGTTGATGTTCAAGGGTACAGCCAGCAGGAAAAGGGTTACTGGTACCAATGGGACTCCATGAGCATTCGAGATGACCTACTCACTCGGAAATGGGAAAGCCCGGATGGAAGAACCCACAGATTCCAGATGATTCTTCCTAAGACGTGTATCTAGAGTATCCTTAAAAAGCTTTACGATGGTCGCACTGGAGGGCATTTTGGAGTAAATAGAACTCTAGCGAGAGTGCGTGAGAGGTACTATTGGGTTAATTACCGTCGTGACATGGAAGAGTGGTGTAAGCGCTGTGACCTGTGCTCTTCGAGAAAGGGTCCGAAGACAAGGCAAAGAGGAAAGTTGAAGCAGTACCCCAGTGGGTGCCCTTTCGAGAGAATCGCAGTTGACATTTTGGGACCACTTCCTATGACAACATCTGGTAACAAGGACCTTGAGGTTGTGATGGACTACTTATCCAAGTGGCCTTAACTAGTAGCCTTACCCAACCAAGAGACTAAAACGGTGGCAGAAGCCCTGTTGCAGAACGTAATTGCCAGACACGGAGTACCCCAAGAACTACACTTAGATCAGGACCGCAACTTCGAATCGGATTTATGGAAGGAAATGATGACTCAGTTGAGAATAAAGAAGACAAGAACAACTGCTCTTCACCTACAATTTGATGGAATGGTTGAGAGGCACAATCGCACCATCAATAACTACCTCCCGATGTTTGTCTCCAAAAACCAAAGAGTCTGGGATAAATTGATTCCTCTTTTTCTGTTGGCATGTAGGAGCTCCCAACATGACGCGACAGGTTATACACCATCCATGTTGTTAACTGGTAGGGAACTGAAGCTTCCGATAGATGTATTGTATGGCAGTCCTTTCGATGAATCTCAAGAGGTACTTCTTTCAGAGTATGTGAATGACCTGAAGGAGACACTGGAAATTGTATACGAATTTGCCGGGACCAAATTATAGCTTTCCAGCGATATGATGAAAATAAGATTTAACAAAAAGACGCAGCCAGTGAGCTTCAAGGAGGGCGATGCAGTGTGGCTCTACCAACCCCTACGTTGGAAAGGTTTGTGCCCCAAGTTGCAGAGACCATGGCAAGAACTTTACTTGGTAACCAAAAAGATAAACGATCTGGTGTACAGAATCCAATTGTCATCCAGAAGCAAGCCTAAAGTTGACCCTATAGAGAGGCTGAGTCCTTACATGGGTCGTGATGTCCCCTCTTGGAATGTTGTTCGGGGCGAACAACCTCAGGGAAGGGGGTAGTGCTGTAGATCATGCCCGAAAGAAAGTAACGCTGGCCGCCATAGGTAACCATAAACCAAACGTGACATAGCTAAGAGCGCGGGAATGCCCAATATTCCTTAACGCTCGAGAAGCAGCAAAGAACTTCGGCGAAAGTTCTACGATATTCGATTACGATATTTAAACGCTAGCGGCGGGCATATTGAGACAGTCAAGTACACAGTCAAGTGGACGTTACAATGCGGTACGCGAAGTGATCTAGTAAGGCGATAGACATTCAAATAATAGTTGAATTTTTTTAGTTGAAATGTTTGTTGTATGTAAAGCGAAATAAAGTTGAGTTTGATTATTCAGTGTAGTCAAATATTGATCAACCCACGGGGAAAAAGGTAACAATATAAAATGGAGCCAGGTAAAAATTGAAATATATCAGAATAGAACACATTTTAGTGTTATTAGTGCTTGAATATCAATTCTGTAGATAGGCAAGACATACACATAAATCATTTGATAGGCGTATTCGATCAACTGTGAATGAGACTCACAAAAAGTGCGTAAGATCGTAACTAAAGATTATACAGATATGGAAGTTGTATGACAGCTACGACACGACTTTGTTGTGACAGCTGATTGGCAACCCCACAATCAAAAACTATTAGTTGTAATATTTTGCTAATATTGATGTGTATTACTTTTAGTCACAAACTACCTTCTCAAAAAATATATATGAAAACCTAACTTATTGGTGAAAAATGCCTAGACAGGAGTATTGGCGAATTTAACAAAGCTTAGTATATAATAAAATTTCCAGTCAATTCATTTTTTAATAACACCAATAAATACAAATTACTGACGAATTAGACTCATCAAAAGTTTGGCAGCTGTGCAGCGCTGAGGCTCCGCAATTGTACATGTTTCCTTATAACCCTGATTAATACAACCTTTGTTCTTCATTCATAACTTTGACTATTTATGATATAATTTTCATAAGTCGTTCAACTAAACACAAAAAAATCTAGAAATTTTTTTAAGAATATAACTTGCCCCTTTTCAACAAAACAATTTAATTTTTTGATTTAAGCCGGAATTATATTATTGTGTCGTGACGCGCCACAAGTATATCATATCCATACATTCAGTATATTACTAAAGTGCAGTGTGCACTAGTATATTTCTAATCTGACGCGTTAACTAGCTAGAGAATAGTTTGCATTCATTTGTGCACAAGATTTCGGATGAATGTATCGAACTTGATAGAAAATACGAAGTGTTGTATAGTCCTAAATGCAAAGAGCAAGCCTTTCTTTTGTTCCAATAGATCGACGAAATTGGGTGTGCATGGAATGATATCTCAAATAGATTTTTTGACATCCTGAAATATTGATGAAATGTTTCTTCATCTCACTCTAGTTCTTTCACTAGTAAAGGATATTCGCTTCGACTACCTCTAAGATCATTTACTGGATGAACCCAATAATTTCTCTTCTTTCTTTTCTTTTTAAGTGAACTTAACATTATCCGAATCGGAGGAAAATATTGTAGATGCTCGCATGCGTCGAGTCCAAAGGCCACCACTGTATTGACTCGAAATAACGTCAGAGCGCGCCCCGACATGACAGAATAGTCTGCACACTCGCCGTCACGTCAGAGAGCATCACAATACACCACAACATAATAATGTAATTCCGGCTTTATTCGGCCTTTACCTGATGAAGATCCATAGTAATTTCATAAACTACACCTTGCTCACTAGGTAATCATAATTTGAGGATGTACCTTAGTTAGTTGAGTATATGTTTTAGGTAATTATGATCGAATGAGTATCTGAGTAAATATATTTCACTTATGATTACGTAGGGTTTTATAAAAATTAGAGTATCTAATAAAAATAATTTTCAGTTTTTTCATTAACTACGAAAAAGCTACTGTGATAGCGAAACATGTCACATATAGAGGAATGTAAGCTTTCAAGGCTGGCGTCAATGCTTTGGTTGGTTTCCGTGTTTT